ATTTGTTATAGCAGCACCCCTACTTCTCAGTACCAATTTTCTGCATTAGGGTTCTCCAGAGAAAGAGAACCAGTAGGATATATATGCACACACACATACACATGACTTATTTGGATTTATTGTATATAATATATATCCATATACAGAGATTTATGAAGATTTATTATGAGGAATTGGTTCATGCAATTACAGAGGCTGAGAAGTCCTATGACATGCAGTCTATAAACTGGAGACCCAGTAAAACTGACAGCGTAATTCTGCTCAATTCTGAAGGCCCGGAAAATGAGCAAGACAGGAAAAAAGGGGCAAATTATTCCCTTCTCTGCCTTTTGTTCTATTCATGTTCTCAACCAATAGGATAAGGCCCACCCACATTGGGGAGGGCAATCTACCTCACTGAGTCCACTGATTCAGATGCTAACTCATCCACAGCATCCTCACAGACACACCCAGAAATAATGTTTTATCAGGGCACCCTATAGCCAGTCAAGTTGATACATAAAATTAAACAAACCAAATAAAACTTTTTTGAGAAGGTCTGCACTGCATTTCAATTTATGTAGGTTCTAGCAAGAGAATATTCTGGAGTGAGCCTTTGACCTTTAGTAAGAACATTTATCTTTAGAAATGGAATTTCTCTGCTTTAGCTATTCAATGAGCGTTGACAAAAGCAGTTGTGGTAAGTACCTTCTTAGGCAAGATCACCCTATCTGGGTTCTTCTTCATCCACAGACTGCCCTGCAGTGATGAGTTACTAGAATTGTACAATGCAGAGTAATTTGGGTGTTGGATCTTAGCTGAGGTTCTGGGCTTTCTCTTTAGACTGTGACTGCCCAAGAACCATCACTGGCTTTGCATCCTCATGGCCAAGGGTGCTGTTTCCCTTACAACAGGAAAGGTGGTTGAAGGAGCTGCCTTAATCAATTTGTGAAAACTTGAATGTGAAAAATGTCTGGACTTTTACTGATTGGTCAAAATTATGAGAAAATGCACCCACATTCTCGCAGAGTTTTTTTTTTTTTCTTTTTTCATTTTTATTAGGCTAGGCAAATCCCTTCTCTATAGGGGTTTTGGCAACCACCATGGTCAAATTCTATAGAAACACCATGAAAAACAGAGATTATCCAGAGAAGGCATATCTATACAAATAGAGGGTAGATTAGCAGTTGCCTGAGGCCGGGGCTGGGAAAAGGATTGACTGCAAATGAGCCCTAGAGATCTTTTTGGGGGCAGAAATATTCCAAAATTAGATTTTGGTGACGGTTGCACAACTCTGTAAAATTACTAAAAATCATTAAATTGTACACTTAAAGTAATTTTATAGTATATACATATATAAAGCTCTTAAACACCTACATGCATACACACACACACACACACACACACACACACACACACACACACACACACACACACACCAAAGATCCTAAAATGGCACATAACTTGAGCAAGTTTGTTCCTAAAACAGGAATGGAAGAAATTTGGACTGACCAGAACAAGATGCAGGCTGCCACATTGCATATCATTTTGAAGCCTCATTGAAAGAGATTCTCCTACTTGGAATCCTGTTCGCATTCATGAAGGAGAAAAGTGGTACAATGATGTATATTTTGTGCAAGAAAGGGGAAATTTGTAAATGGGCCCTAAGCCCAAGATTATTGATACCTGGAGCAAATGCTTCATAACCTCAACACTGAAGATATTAATAACTATAACTATCTATTATTCATGGTTCTTGTTAACTCTGGAGTGGAGTAACATAATCATATACTGATTTAATTACAATGCTAATTATTAATAATTCCATGTAGTAGTGCGTATGTGCAATTCTCCTGTTTTACTCAAGTTAATAAATCAATGAAACAGGCATATTAAACTTGCCTGATTCTTGGGTAACTTGCTTTCTTCTCATTTCTCAATTTTTACTCTGTAGAATCTTGGTGTTTTAGTAAATCTTTCAAGTTGAAACTATCAACTCAACATTTTACCTCCTAAGAACAATAATACTGAGAATGAATAGGACATTAGATTATGGTAGAAAATGTCTGCGTTTGTGACAGCTGTATTTTTGGCTCATCAACTTAATGCAGATGGTTTTGATGACTGTTACAAATGTCTGTTCTTTTGTTCTAAGCAGAAAAATGAAAAGGTTGAGTAATCAAAATTTATTATTGAAATTAGTGTAGTCTATCTCTTTGGATGCAGTGGTAGATTATTTTGAGACAAAACATGGCAGATTTACTGGGGAAAGTGAAAAGAGTTTTGTGTACACAAAATTTCCTGTTTTACTTATGCTGGATGATTTGGGGGGAAACTTCCAGAAGAGGTATTTTGTGAATCTATGCCATGGTACACAATCAACACTCAATTACCCTGCCTTATTATCTTACACCCAAAGTATATTTCTGCCTCAGGGCCTTTGGACTTGCTATTTTCTCTGCCTGGTGGATCATTCCCTAGATGGGCATGGCCCACTGCTTCACTTAAGTCCCTATTCAACTGTCACTTCCTCAGAGCAGTCTTCCCTGATTAGCCCATTTAAAAATAGCACAATGTCACTATCCCCTCAGCCTCCTTTCTTTTTCTTCATGGTACTTAACCACAGTCTGACCTTACATGCTTGCCTTACCCACCAGAATGCAAGGTCCATGAAGGTAGGGATCTCATCAGTCTTGTTCACTGCTGCATCCCCTGATTCTAGTACATAATTGTTCAAGACATATTGAAGTTAATTGAATGAACTGCAGTTTGACTTTAATATTTACCTCTTTTTGCCTCGCTAACCAGACAGTAAGTTCATGGAAGGCAGCCAAAGGCCCTGGTTGCTTATTTATCTTCTCTACAGCAATTAGCTCAGTTCTGCATGGGTTTTAATATTCAACCAAGATTTACTGAATGAATGCCCTAAAACAAGGATGCTACCCAGTCAGCCTTCCCTGCAGGTGAACAAGAACAATAATGTCTTTCCTTTCAGCCCACATTTTACAAAGTACTTTTATGTATATTAACTAATTTGATCATTTTTGCCAATAGTTTTAGTAGCTCTTAAGGTCTGCTTGGAGAAATGAATACTCAAATATAACAAATATTAATTTCTGGGGTGTACTATTACAATTTTCCATACTTTTTTTCTGGTCCTAGATATGGCATTTAATGTGTTCTTGGTCATCTGAAAAATACTTTAAAAGGTTGAATAACATTTAAAATAAATAAGTAAAAAAAAAGACTGTTTTGATCATAGTTGTGCACAGAGAGATTTTTGGAAGAGAGTTTAACAAAGTCATCACAGTGATTACTTATAGATGGTGGGAACTTCAGATAGTATTTACCTTTTATGGCTTTCCATTTGCTTGAATTTTAAAAACAAATCAGAAGTCATCAAAAGAAACCTATGTTTATACAATGCCTTATTTTCGTTTGTCATTGTGAATTGTGTAAAAACGATCACTACTCATTTTCCTGGCTATGTAATTCACAGCATACAACCAATTTCATTCCAAGAATGCTTTTAATCCTGATTTGTGGTAAACCAATAACAAATAGAATGAACCAAAATTCTTCGGGTTTTTTTGGGTTTCTGTATTTTCCATATTTATGGCAAGAGCTAGAAAAATGTTTCATTGTTTGGTAATTTTTCATCCTCACCAAAGAAAAAAGTAAGTTCCAGGATATTGCACTCCCAAAATAGAAGGCCAAAATGGGGCGTCCGGGACTCGTTCTGGACCTTGGACCAGCCTTACAGAGCACACGTGAAATAGTTCATTTATTCTTTTTTCCTCTTACGATTTAAGATTCTTAAAAATTCCCTTTACGTTTTTTTTTTTATTTTTTTAACCACAGGGTTTGGGAAGTTACGCAAATAACTACCTTGCGGAAAATCTCTACTGATGCCAACAATATGGATTTCATTTTAGGCTATAAAGGGATGGGATTTTCTTAAAGTTCATTCCGAACTAAGCCGGGCTTTTCATGGTTGCTGGTGCGCCTTAGGGCAAGCGAGCTTCCTTTACAGGCTTGCACAGCAGCAGCTTGTGTCTCCATGTCCGTCCATCAGTGCGTGTCTGTGTAACGTGGGTTTTGGGTGTGTGACGGTGGTTTTGAGCCCATGGCTTACACACTCAACGAGGATGCGCGTCCAGCCGTGCAGGTGGGTGCGGGATTCTCCAGTCTCGGGGTGGGTTAGGGCATCCTTCGCCAAGGTCTGCAGCTCCCAGCCCTGGCCAGGGTGCGGTAGGGCGGGCGCAGTAGGGAGCGGGGCGGCCGGGCAGTGGAGGTACCAGTGCAGCTCCAGCGCAGGCAGGGCTCAGAGGACATGCTCGGGTCCGGGACAGCGCATTTTCTTCCCTTGTTGGTGTGCTTAGAGCGGAAACCTCCGCAGGCGTCCGCAGGGCCGGCAGAGCGAGGGGGTCCCGGAGGCCACTGGGTGGGGGAAGGAATAACGTGTGGGGCGGTGCCTCCCCTTATCAATTCCCTGCGGAGCTGGCGGCAACCTCCTTCTGGCTTCACCTAGTCTCAGGGAAAGGGAAACCGAGACCCGGGGCGGCGCGCGTGTCAAAGGCACCCAGGAGCCCAGGTACGTGCTACCCCCTCCCGAGCCGGCACCCGGACGGTTGGGCCAGGCGGTTGCAGCCCCAGACGGGCCGCGCCGCGGCCTCTGTGACGCACGGCGCGGCCTCCGGGTCTACCGGCGGCTCAGCGCGGCGGTGGCGGGGCGAGCGTGGGAGGGTGAGGAGGGGTGGAGCGAGCGGGGCGGAGCCGGTGGAGGCCCCGCCCTGGGGCCGGAGGAGCGAGGACGCTACGGAGCAGGCGCGTCCTGCCGCCGCCGCTGCTGCCGCCGCCACTGCTCACCCTTCTTCGGAGCCGCCGCCGCCGCCGCCGCCATTTGCACGGGGACTTCGGTGACAGAGGCTCGGCAGAGGGGCGGTGGGAGGGGGGAGGGCTCGCGGAGCCCCTGAGGGCGGGAGCGACGCCGCCGGCGCCGGCCGGGCTCCCTGCGCGACCGCGCCGCCCGCGGCGGGCCCGGAGCAGCAGAGGCAGCAGCTGCCGAGGCCGAGCGTGCGCCTGAGGCGCGGCGGCGGCGGCGGCGGCGTCCCTGCGGGCGGCCGGGAGGGGCGGGGGCAGAGGCCGCCGCCGTTTGATGGATCCGAGGATCGCCTGGTTCCAGCCAGAGCAGCTCGGACCGTCCAACAGTCTGTGGATGCAGATCTGGGAGACGACCCAGGGGCTGAGGAACCTCTACTTCAACCACCACTGTCACAGCAGCGGCGGCGCGAGCGCCGGCGGCGGTAGCAGCCCGGCCACCGGCGGGAGCGGAAGCAGCCCCGGCAGCCCCGGCGGCGCGGCCCCGGCCCCGGCCGGCATGTACCGCTCCGGGGAGCGCCTGCTGGGCGGCCTCGCACAGCCCGCGGAGCAGCGGGACTTCCTGCCCCTGGAGACCAACAACAACAACAACCACCAGCAGCCCGCGGCCTGGGCGCGTCGCGCTGCCGCGTCGCCGTCGCCCGCCGCGTCCCCGGGCCCCGCTGTGCCCGCCGCGGAGTCCGCGGACCCGGCCTCAGGCAGCAGCAACAAGCGGAAGCGCGACAACAAGGCCAGCACCTACGGACTCAACTACAGCTTGCTGCAGTCCCGCGGAGGGCGCGCCGCGGGGACCGGCCGTGCCGATGGCGGCGGGGGCGTGTACAGCGGGACCCCGTGGAAGCGGAGGAACTACAACCAGGGAGTCGTGGGGTGAGTGGGGCCCTGCGGCCTGGCGGCCGGGCCCGGCGCACGCCCACACGGGGGAGCGGGGAGCCCAGGCGCGGCCGCCGTGCTCGGCCCGCCGCCGCCGCTCGTCAGGGGGATGAGGACTCTCCCTCCATCCCTCCGCCGTCCGCGCCTTTCCTCTCGCCTTCAGCCGTGCGCGTCCTAGCGGGACATCCCCATAGCCATCCACACCTCCCTCGCCCCCCTTAGTCATCCACACTCTCCATTTCAGCCATCCACGCCTTCCCCGACCCTCTTACCCATTCACTCTCCTCCCATCCCCCTGACGCGCCCTTCCAGACCTCATCTTGCTCCCCGTTATCATACCCCAAGATGAGGTCGTAGCACAGGCAAATCATTCATTTCCTCAGAACGTTCCTGCTGGTGCCTATTGATGGTACAGTACCTGGAGGTGCTTTCTTTGCCAAGAATAGAAATATCCAGAAAGCTCCTCCCCCTCCCCCAATCCCAAACAGAAATCATGTCAGCCCTGTAAGGCTTTGCCTGCTCTTGATCCTTTGGCCATTTTTTAATTTTTAATTTTGTAAAATTTCCTGTGTTGGCGGTGCCTTGTTCTGTGGGGAGTGAAGAACTGAGTGACAGCTAAGTTTAGGCTGGTGGAGACGGTGAGCTCTTTCGAGGCCGATAGAACTTTCTAGGAGTTCATGATCCTTGGCCCCAGCTTCTCACTGTAAAGTTGTTCTGGCAGAGATAGCCAATGCTGTCCATAGTAGGGGATAACTTTATCCTAATGAGTGAATGTTGCACCACTAATGATTTACTGTTTAAAGTTCAGCTGTTACAAAATGGAATCTTACCTGATCCCTGGTGAATTATGTACAGAAGCAGGGATTGGAAGAGCCCCTGTGCTGGAATAAAATAGTCTTTTATTTTGTAAAACAAAGATTTGGGCCGCGTGTGTGTGTGTGTGTGTGTGTGTTTAGCTTGAGAATGGAGAATAAGCTTTCATATTGTTTTTCATTTTTCAGGTCCTGTTTTACATTGGGGACTACAGTAGGCAAATGAAATTACCATTAGTTATCCCTTGTGAAACCTTTTCTTAGATTCACCCATTCAGCTCTGCCCTGCTTTGGCAAGCAGAGACCATTGTGTACCTCTTTGAAGGTCTGGGTAAAATGAGTTGGTGGGTTCCATCTGCTTCTAGTGGGCTGGTGTCTGCTATAGTACTGGTGTATGCTACTATTACAATTCCCACCTTTTACGGAAAATGCAGTCAAATGTTTTAGGACTGGTGCGGGGTATTTGTCAAACCTGTTTTCACTTTCCAGAGGGGAACATTTGAGGGTTGAGTCCTCTGTTGCTAAGCTTCACAGGCGCTCTCCATGGTCATCAGATTTTAATAAAAGGCTCATAGTTCCATCCTGTTAGCATTTCCAAGACAAAGCATAAACCTGTGGTTTAGTGACAAGCAAATTGATACTGAGGGGTTCTGATCGTTTCATTTGACAGGAATAGGCTCCAGTTAAGTAATCACTGTCAACTAAAACCTTGAAGTTCCCTAATTTCATTTTACTGAAGCTTCTGTATATGTATCTAGCAAAGATGCATTATAAATCCAAAATGCTGTCTGCCTCTCTTTATGATAGATTAGAAATTGTCATCTCTTCTACTTGCTATTTAATGTAAAGGGTTCACATTTGAACTTACATAGAAGCAAGATGTTCTTGTTCCTGATGCAAAAATTATATTGCCTTCACAGGGATTAAGGAGAGGAATTTCCATTTCCCAAAGGGACTACTGTTTAAAAACTGATTGTAAACCTGTTTTAAAACTGCTTATCACATCATCAGACTTTCCATTCTTTTACCTTCTCTGTTAGAGGATATCAGCAATAAAAATTTTTTAAATTTTATTCAGCAGTTTCTAAGAGTGTTTTTGTAAGAGTGTCTGGGTGTTTAAATATTCTTGCTTTGATATATGGATCCTTATTTCCTGACTCTTACAGGAGTTTTGCTATTTCTAACATAGGTATTTAAAAAATTAAGTTCAGAGAGCACTTCAGTGTTACGCTATTCTGAGATTAAATACAATAGAACTGTGACCATCATTCTGGGTTCTTGGGATCTGACTGACATAGAGCTAGCTAATAGGTTAACAAATTGTGGTGGTCCCTGGACTCTGAACTAACAGTCCAGTAGGGAGAGGAGAAAAAAATACATGGATAGTGAATGAGAACTGTGGGATAGCTGTATACATACACTCTTTCACATCTTTGCTCTCTCTGTGTTCTTTGTTTCAGCCAGACTACTTGACTTAGTCCTGGAACACTCCAATATCAGTTCAAAATACTGACTTCTTCAGTGTGTAGGTTCTTGATTTTTTTGGTTCCTCCTTTGAACTCTTGAAGTGCTTGGTTCATGCTCTTGGTATAGCTTGCTTATGTTTAATTTTTCTTTTATGTGTATGTTTCCTCTTAACCGTTAGGTTACTGTTTAAGATGGAAATGTCTTAAATGTAAAGTAAGATATTTGGATTTTATCCTGAAGTTTTCATATTCCTCTTTCAAAATTAAACTCGCCTAGACTTAACCATCTCAGCTTTCTTCTCCATGTACCCAGAGACTTAGGGAGTTTGTTTACTTTTTTTTTTTCCTTTTTAAAGTTAACTTTCACTATTCTATTTCTTGGACTGCATTCCCCTCCAAGGCTGGCTATGGTGTAGGAAGCAGTCCACTTGCTCCTTCTGGTTGTCCATGAAAACAAGCCATAGGCCCTTTTCAGAGATTTAATTGTTGATCATAAAGAAAGAAGATATGACAAAAAGTAGCAAACACAGGAAACTTATGGAGATTCGGAGTCCTTGGTCCTGAGCCCCAGTGTCCAGAAACTTGTCGAAGGTGCTTGGAGCTTGTCCAATCTCATGCGGATAGGTTTGTGTTGGCTGCACTGCCAGATGTGTAGATATTTTTTCAAGGCTTAGATGACTTGTTCAAAATAATGTTTTGAGGTCTGAATTTGATTGTGGGGCATCATGAAGACCTTGTTGGGAAACTTGGGTTTAAGGAATAATTTCTTGAACTGGGATGATGGGAATGGGAAAGAAGAATGAATGTAAGAGGTACTGCAAGCTAAGGATGGTGAGAATTCTGACTCCCTTCATGGAGTTAATAATCATGCTTTAGCCTTGAAATTGAGTGACTTGGTGGTGGCATTGAAAATAAGGGTTAAGACTATTGGTTTGGAGTAAAAGATGTAATATTTAGGTGATACTGCCTTGCAGGGAGTTGAAATTTGGGGATTGAGATATTGTTGCTCTACTGCAGTGGGGCATTTTCCTCTTTTACTTAAGTTACACACTATACCACAGTAAGTCCAAGATACAGATGCTGTTCTTCAGTGCTGGCATTATGACCTCTTTCTGCTTATTTCTACACAGTATGATCAGTGGGATTGGGTTTAGTGCTGGGCTCCAAAGTGACCCAGCAGATTAACATTGTTTGAGTATGAAAGAATTTAGAGGCCTTATTCCAAGTATAATATCTGTGCATTTGCAAATGTAGCCCACAGTAATTCTTTAGTGAACTAGACCTTCAGATTATTGACTGTTACTGCATTTGGGTACTGAAATGTGCTTTCAAGAAGACATTAGATTTTCTACAGTGTAGATTCTATGCTGGTGTAATTCATATTTGAAAATTTCCCAAAATCTAGTATACTGTGTTCAACTAAGTTTCTTTCCTGCTGCAACTCATCTTCTTACCTAAAGTCTGTGACCAGTGAACACTGTCATTGTCAGAATCATTGGCATTTCAATGTGTGGAATCTTTTTAAACCCCTGTTAAGTTTAGCTGATGAATGGGAAAAGAAAACAGTGAATGGATGGAGTCTTTTAAGTCTACCTTGGGTTCCCACAGAAGGTTTAGTTTGTTGCAGGAAAGGAAAGATGGGAAAGGGATATTAGAAAAGTCTAAAGCAAGTAGAGGGAGTATGCTTCAGAACATTGTGGTCCTGGTGTAAATAAATGGCCTTATAATTACAATTTCTTCCATGAAACTTGTACCAATAAATCCTAATGTTAGGAATCCAAAAGAGTCCATGGAAGAAAAATTCAGGGGCTCCCTTGGCTGATAACAGACTGGTCAGATGGTGTGGTTAGGTATTCTTTTACTGGCTGAAGCTAAGAAGAATTTAAGCTACTTTTTTTATGGAATATAGAAAAGCAAGTTGTTGTATGATTTCACTCAGCTTTCTATTCTCTCTTCTGTTGAATCTGTTAGAGTAACAGTGGGAAACTATTTTAAGATCACACCCACGGCACCAGAGACTGTATTAATCACTTACACACACATAGGTATAGAGTAATGTGAAGGGGCGATAGGCCAGAGAGGATGCTTATTTGAAAAATGAGGGTCCAGTTCCCAACAGTCTGAGACTGCTATCTTTGCTCTTTCCTACAGAGCTGATTGAACAGTTCAGAGCCTGCTTGAGAAATTGAGAGGACCACGGTAGAGTGTTCATTCTATCCTTCAGAATATTTGCCAATGAGTTAGCTGCTACAGAACACCATAAAGACTTCAGATTCATTTTACCATTTTTGAGATGATGTGTGATTATATTTTTCTAAGGGAATATCTTTTGAAGTTAAGGATGGCCTTGAACAAGACTTTTCATTAATATGGACCCAAACAGCAGGTGATACTTTTATTTCTATCCTCTAAGTTACTTGATGATACATAGACTTTTGTATGTAGTAAGGGCTTTGAGCCATATGGAAATTTGACTTAAAGATTTCATGGAAAAAATGGAATGTGGAGCCATTTATGTCATGCTCTGGCTCCTTGTTTTAATAAATTGAGGAATTTCAAGTCTGAAAAAAATTTTGCCATGTGCATAAGGGATTTCATATAGTACCTGGTAACTAAACTCAGTAATTTTGGCTTAAGTCACACTTGCTGCTGAAATAGTTTGAATAGTGCAGAAATCTGTATTTTGAAATTGATTTTTAAGAAGTGCTCAGTAAAATCA